TCAATCCGTGCTGTCGTGTCTCTTGAAGTCTTGATCGACATCTTATTTTATACTTGATATCATGAAATCTCGCTCTATTTATATTTCGCTAATGGTGGCTCTCACTGTGTGTGTGTGTGTGTGTGTGTGTGTGTGTGTGTGTGTGTGTGTGTGTGTGTGTAATAATAATAATAATAAACGGTTTATTAATAGAGTTGCAGCCGGTGGCTGAAAAATATACAGAGACTTACATTTAATTTGGGACATAATGAATACATTTACAGGGCTTTATACAGCACATAAATCAGGAGTTGTTTATTATTTTAACAATAGATGGATGGTGCTGTTCTTATATCTATCGGTGCGTGGCTCTTATGGGCCGAATTTGTTGTAGCGGCAACGGTGTGTGTGTGTGTGTGTGTGCGTGCGTGCGTGCGCGTGTGCGTGTATGTGTGTGTGCGTGCGCGCGCGCGCACCCAGCAGCTATGAACGGATACCTACATATACAGTTGGGGATGAATCTGGTCGAGTGCACTATCGACCAAATAGAACCCCTAACGTATGCCAGGGCTTAATGAGTGTGTTGTATCGCTGAGGGCACAAGGAGGTGGACTGTCACACACACGTCATAGCAGGGTCACATAGTACCCCCATTGGCCTCCTCGACCGACTTGACTAAATATATAATTTTCCGGAAGTCTGTGTTACTTCCTTCCTCCAGCGGGTAAATCCAAGGTTTATTCCCCGCCTGTCATAGTTGTCCCATTCCCACGTTAATGTTCGGTTTCCTGCCAAAATTGTACTAAATACCAACGTCTTATATCGCACATATAAAAGCGTCACTAGTACCATACCAGTCTCCTGTTAACTTGTACTGGAGTAGAGTATTGCAGGCGGTAGAACGAAGGTGAGTAAGGAAGGGGAGGGGGGGTAACAGAACTGGCCTTATATGTGTTAGTATGAGGTTGATAGAACGTCCTGCAACTTATTATAATGACGTGTATTTGAGGAGAAAGATATAATGATAATAATCCATCACATAGAGGGAGATAGAGAGAGAAATAGTGTTCATTTATCAGTCAGTTGTGGGAGTGTGGGTATTAGGCTGTCTAGATTATAAACGCGACCGAAATATTTTGTTCATATTTTAGGCTCACAAAATCGTTCAATATACCTACCGGCAACATTTGAACGCTGGACACACACACACGCCTGAACTAATTTGGAGTATTTTTCCCCCAGTTAATCGATCTCATTCCCATTACCTTTGCCAGAGTGAGTGAACGATATTGCTAACTTGACGAGAGAACGAGTTTATTTTTTTTTCCATCACTCAAATACATGACGTCTCATTTATGCGCTGCGGGGGCCCTTAACCAGTCCAGTCCCCCTTGAATACTTCTTATATCTTCTTGCTCACCATTTCTTCCTGTGATTAGTCTAGATATCATTGATGCCTCTGTGACCCAGTTTGTCCACCCGCCACCCCCCTTTGACCTGACCCCAATCTCAGTGACCCAACGTAGAAAATATCCACTGGTTGTTTTGTTTGTGTTTCAGTCCCCTAATTAATGTATATCCTGTTTGTGTGGGTCGTTGCTTCCTTTCTCTGGAATTCTTACTCGTATATCTAGGGTACGGTGTGGTGTTGTATTAAGTTGTTGTTGTAGTCTTGGAGTTTTTGTTAGGTGTACGCAAAATAGTTGTTGTGTTATTGTGGTTAGCATGTCTGATACACACACACACACAGTTAGCCTTTTCATATAATTATTAATGTTTGTCTCTGTTTGGTCACATTTCCCCGCCACACTACTATCATCACCACTACCACCTTCCTGAATCACGTCTCTCCTTGCACACACACACACACACACACACACACACACACACACACACATTACCATCAGATTATCATTTCGCACTTAAAATCGAACCATTCTGTAATTTGCCTAATTCTTAGTTACTTTCACCTTCTTCCCCACCACCTGAAACTGGTTAGCATTTCATCGTCGCTACCTGGGTCGTCTCGATATACAGTACTGTCTAGCTCTGTATTTATATGTGAATTATGTCCTGGGTCAGAGTTGTCGGACAGCATGTAGTTGGTAGTGTGGTGTTGTGTTGGTAGTGTGGGTTGTGTTGGTAGTGTGTGGGTTGTGTTGGTAGTGTGGGTGTTGTGTGGTAGTGTGGGTGTGTGGTAGTGTGGGTGTTGTGTTGGTAGTGTGGGTGTTGTGTTGGAGTGTTGTGTTGTGTTGTAGTGTGGGTGTTGTGTTGGTAGTGTGGGTGTTGTGTTGGTAGTGTGGGTGTTGTGTTGGTAGTGTGGTGGTTGGAGGGGTTGTTGGTAGTGTGGGTTGGAGTGTGGTGTGTTGGTAGTGGGGTGTTGTGTTGGTAGTGTGGGGCAGGTTGGTGTGGGTGTTGTGTTGGTAGTGTGGGTGTTATGTTGGCAGTGGTGGGTGTTGTGTTGGTAGTGTGGGTGGGAGTGTGGGTGTTGTGTTGGTAGTGTGTGTGGGTGTTGTGTTGGTAGTGGTGTTGTGTTGGCAGTGTGGGTGTTATGTTGGTGAGTGCGTGCGTTGTGCTGGCAGTGTGGGTGTTGTGTTGGCAGGTGTGCGTTGTGTTGGCAGTGTGGGTGTTGTGTTGGTAGTGCGTGGGTGTTGTGTTGGTAGTGGTGGGTGTGTTGGTAGTGGCGTTGTGTTAGTGGGGGTGTTGTGTTGGCAGTGGTGGGTGTGTGTTGGCAGTGTGGCTGTGTTGGTAGTGTGTTGGTGGAGTGGGTGCTGTGTTGGCAGTGTGTGGGGCTGGTGTTGGTAGTGTGGGTGTTGTGTTGGTAGTGGGTGCTGTGTTGGTAGTGTGGGTGTTGTGCTGGAGTGTGGGTGTGGTTGGCAGTGCAGTGTTGTGCTGGTAGTGTGGGTGTTGTGTTGGTAGTGTGGGGTGTGCTGGTAGTGTGGGGTGTTGGCAGTGTGGTGTTGTGCTGGTAGTGTGGGTGTTATGTTGGTAGTGTGGGCGTTGTGTTGGCAGTGTGGTGTTGTGTTGGTAGTGTGGGTGTTGTGCTGGCAGTGGGTGCTGGGTTGGTAGTGTGGTGTGTTGGTAGTGCGGGTGTTGTGTTGGCAGTGGGTGTTGTGTTGGTAGTGTGGGGCGTGTTGGTAGTGTGTGGGTGTTGTGTCATAATGTGTGGGTGTTGTGTTGGCAGTGGGTGTGTGGTATTCGGGGGTGTTGTGCTGGCGGTGTGGGTGTGGCTGGTAGTGCGGGTTGTGTTTGGAGTGTGTGCGTGGTTGGCAGTGTGGGTGTTGTGTTGGTGAGTGTGGGTGTTGTGTTGGTAGTGTGGGTGTTGGTTAGTGTGGGTGTTGTGCTGGCAGTGTGGGTGTTGTGGCTGAGTGTGGTGTGCTGGCAGTGTGGGCGTTGTGCTGGTGGTGTGTGGGTGTTGTGTTGGAGTGGTGGGTGCGGTGGTAGTGTGTGGGTTTGTGGCAGTGGGTGCTGTGTTGGTAGTGTGGGTGTTGTGCTGGCAGTGTGGGTGTTGTTTGGTAGTGGGTGTTGGTAGTGCTGGGTGTAGTGTGGGTGTTGTGCTGGTGTGCGGGTGTTGTCAGTGTGGGGTGTGGTGCGTTGGTAGTGGTGTTGTGTTGGTAGTGTGGGGGTGTGGGTGTTGTGTTGGTAGTCTGGGTGTTGGGCTGGTAGTGTGGGTGTTGTGTTGGTAGTGGGTGTTGTGTTGGTAGTGTGGTGTTCTGTTGGTAGTGTGGGTGTTGTGTTGGTAGTGTGGGTGTTGTGTTGGTAGTGTGGGTGTTGTGTTGGTAGTGTGTGGGTGTTGTGTTGGTAGTGTGGGTGTTGTGTTGGTAGTGTGGGTGTTGTGTTGGTAGTGTGTGTTGTGCTGGTAGTGTGGTGTTGTGTTAGTGTGGGGTGGTGTTGGTAAGTGTGGGTGTTGTGTTGGTAGTGTGGGGGTGCGGTGTTGGAGTGGGTTTGTGTGGAGGGTGGTGAGTGGGTGTTGTGTTGGTGTGGGGGTGGCTGGTGTGCGGGAGTGCTGTGTTGGCAGTGCGGGGCGCTTGTGCTGGCAGTGTGGGTGCTTGTGCTGGTGGTAGTGCGTGGGTTGGGTGCTGGCAGCGGAGTGGGGCTGTTTGGCAGTGTGGGTGTTGTGTTGGTAGTGTGGGTGTTGGTGTTGGTAGTGTGGGGTGTGTTTGGTAGTGTGGCGTTGTGTTGGTAGTGTGGGTGTTGGTGTTGGCAGTGTGTGGGTGTCGTTGGTAGTGTGGGTGCGTTGTGTTGGTAGTGGGTGTTTGTGTTGGTAGTGTGGGTAAGCCAGGGTTGGTAGTGTAAGTGTTGTGTTGGCAGTGCGTTGGGTGCCAGTTGGCAGTGTGTGGGTGTTGTGCTGGTGCGTGGGTGTTGTGCTGGTAGTGTGGAGGTTGCGTTGGCAGTGTGGGGTGTTAGGCGTTGTGCAGTGCGGGTGCTGTGTTGGTGGCAGTGTGGGTGTTGTGTTGGTAGTGTGGAGGTTGTGTTGGTAGTGTGGGTGTTGTGTTGGTAGTGTGGGTGTTGTGTTGGTAGTGTGGGTGTTGTGTTGGTAGTGTGTGGGTGCTGGGGCCGGTAGTGTGTGGGCGTTGTGGGCGTTGTGTTGGCAGTGCGGGTGCTTGTGTTGGTGCAGTGTGGGTGCTGTGTCAAGGTGTGTGCTGCCAGGTTGGCAGTGGGTGTTGTGTTGGCAGTGTGGGTGTTGTGCCGGCAGTGTGGGCGTTGTGCCGGCAGTGCGGGCGTTGTGTTGGCAGTGTGGGGTGTTGTGCTATAGTGCGGGTGTTTGTGCTGGCAGCGTGGGCGTTGTGCTGGCAGTGTGGGCGCTGCGTTGGCAGTGCGTGGGTAAGCCAGGTTGGCAGCGGCAGCGCCGTGTCGGCAGTGTGGGCGTTTGCGGCTGGCAGTGTGGGTGTTGTGTCATAGTGGGTGTTGTGTTGGGCAGCGTTGTGTTGTGTAGGCACAAAAGCCAGGTTGGTAGTGCGGGTGCTGTGCTGGTGAAGTGCGGGTGCTGTGCTGGCGCAGTGCGCGTCACAGTGGCTGCGTTAGCAGGCCGTGCCGGCAGTGTGGCGTTGTGTTGGCAGTGGTGCGGGCGCTGCGCCGGCAGTGCGGGCGTTGTGCTGGCAGTGCGTGCGGGCGTTTGTGCCGGCAGTGCGTGGCGTTGGTGCCGCAGTGCGTGGGCGCTGTGCTGAGAAAGTGCGGGCGTTTGCGCTGGCAGTGTGGGTACAGGCTGGCAGTGCGGGTGTTGTGCTGGCAGCGTGCGGCGTTGCGCTGGCAGTGGCGCTGTGCTGGCAGTGTGGCGTTGTGTTTGCAGTGTTGGGCGTTTGTGCTGGCAGTGTAGCGCTGTGCCGGCAGCGGGTGTTTGTGTTGGTAGCGTAAGTGTCAGGTTGGCAGTGCGGCGTTGTGTTGGCAATGTGGGCGTTGCGGGCTGGCAGTGTGGAGTCAGGTTGGCATTGTGGGTGCTGTGCCGGTAGCGTGCGCCGTAGTTGGTGCAGTGCGCGCCGTGCCGGCAGTGCGTCAAGTGTCAGGCTGGCAGTGCGGGTGCTTGCGCGGCGGCGTGGGCGTTGTGTTGGTAGTGGCGTTGTGCTGGTAGTGTGGAAGCGCCTGTGGGGTTAAGTAGTGGGTGTTGTGCTTGGTAGTGTGTGGGTGTGGTGTTGGTAGTGTGGGTGTTGTGTTGGTGTGTGTGTGGGTGTTGTATGGGTAGTGTGCTGTAGTGCGTGGGGTGCTGTGCTTGGTAGTGGGCGTTGTGCTGGCAGTGTGGGTGTTGTGTTGCAGTGTGGGTGTTGTGCTGGCAGTGTGCGTTGCGCTGGTAGCGGGTGTTGTGCTGGCAGTGTGGGTGTTGTGGCCGGCAGTGTGTGCGCCAGTTGGTAGTGTGTTGGGCAAGGCCGGCAATGTGGGTGTCAGGTTGGCAGTGTGGGGTGTCAGGTTGGCAGGGGTGTGGTGTTGGCAATGTGGCGTTGTGTTGGTGAAAGTGGGTGTGGTGTTGGTAGTGCGGGTGTTGTGGTTGGTAGTCAGGGTGCTGGGTGATAGCAGTGTGGGTGTCAGGCTGGCAGTGCGGAGCGCTGTGCTGGCAGCGTGGGCGTCCTGGTTGGCAGCGTGTAAGTGGTTGTGTTGGTAGTGTGGGTGTTGGTAGTAAAAGTGCTTGTGGGCTGGTAGTGTGTGGGCGTTGTGCTGGCAGTGGTGTTGGTGGGGTTATGGTGTGTGTGGGTAAGCTTGTGGGTTGGTAGTGTGGGTGTTGTGTTGGTAGTGTAAAGTGTTGTGTTGGTAGTGTGTGGGGTGTGGTGGTGTTGGTACGGGTGTTGTGTTGGTAGTGTGGGGTGTGGTGTTGGTAGTGTGGGTGTTGTGTTGGTAGTCAGGGGTGTTGGGTGATAGTAGCGTGGGTGCTGTGTTGGTAGTGTGGAGTGTCAGGTTGGCAGTGTGGGTGTTGTGTTGGTAGTGTGGGTGTTGTGTTGGCAGTGTGGGTGTTGTGTTGGTAGTGGTGGAGGCCAGTTGGCAGTGTGGGCGCCAGCTACAGTGCGGGTGTCAGGCCAGCAGTGCGGGTACTGTGCTGGCAGTGCGGCGCTGTGTCGGCAGTGGCGTTGCGTTTGGCAGTGCGGGCGCTTGCGTCGGGCGTGGCGTTTGCGTCGGCAGTGCGGGCGTTTGCGCTTCGCAGTAAGTGCCAGTTGGCAGTGCGGGCGCCGCCTGGCAGTGCCGCGCCGCGCTGGCAGTGCGGGCGTTGTGTCGGCAGTGCGGGCGTTGTGCCGGCAGTGCGGAGGGTTGCGCTGGCAGTGGGGGTGTCAGGCTGGCAGTGTGCGGCGTCAAGTAATGTGGGCGTTGTGTCGGCAGTGGGGTGGCCAGGCTGGTGCGTGGGGTGCAGGCTGGCAACGTGGCGTTGTGTCGAGCAGTGCGGGGTGGCGCTGGCAGTGTGGCGGCCAGGCTGGCAGTCAGGCGCTGGTGACAGCAGCGTGGCGCTGTGCTCGGCAGTGGAGGCCGTGCCGGCAGTGCGGGCGC